GACAGCTGGGGCTACAAGGAGACCCTGTTTCAAAAACAAAAAAAAGACATCATAGCGATGCATGTAACTATAAACACAAAATTCTTCAGGGCTGAAGGGCTGGCTCAGCGGTTAAGAGCACTGGCTGCTCTGGCAGAGGACCCAGGTTTGGTTCCTAGTACCCATATGACAGCTAACATGGTATGTAACTCCAGTCCAGGGGATCAGATGCTCTCTTCTGGTTTCTGCAGGCATTTCACACACATGGTGCACTTACATACATACAAGCAAAACACTGATACATAAAATGAATCTTTTTTTAAAAACACAAAAATTCTTTTACACATCAAACACAGAGCCTGAGAATGACTTTTTGCAATATGTTTAGTGAGTCTGTGTCCTGTCCCCATGTGCTGGATAGCTTTAGTGTCAACTTGACACACCTGGGTAGAGGGAGCCTCAATTGGGGAATTTCCTCCATAGCCCAACCAATCCACGGTCATGGCCCTCACTGGGATGTGGATCTGGCTTCTGAGGGTGCTTGTCCTCAATGTCCTTGTCCCTGATGGCCAGCTCCCAGCCTAGCTTCCGGTCAACCCCCCCACCTTCACTAAAGGATTTGATCATGGGGCAGTAGTTGGTTCTGAGTTGCTTCTGGGTGTCATTCTATGACACGGAAATGCCTAGATTGGGATACCCCACTCCATGCCTCATTTGTAAATTTCATCTGGGCCTCTATCCAGCACTTACAGCCCCAAGCTGGGCTCACAAGAAAAGGAGGATGAGGTGGCACATGCCTGTCATCTTGTTCTTGGATCAGGAGCTCAAGGCCAACCTTGACTACATGAGACCCTGTCTCAAAAACAACAAAAGTCCCACAGGACAACCCACTCCTCCCAGGCAGGGCCCACCCCCTCTGGAGTCACCCTGAACATGAGCATAAGATTCAGAAAATTCCCTCTCAGGGAGCTTCCAGGGTTGACGTGGCCAACCAACTTGCCCACTCCTTAAGAGTGTTTATTTAACTGAGACAAAACTGGATAAAAACAGTTACATGGGGAAATCACTGTTTCTCCAAAGTCTTTTACTGTCTAAAAACTAAGTTTGTCCATTATCCAGTGTGCCGGGCTGAAATCTCCCACCCAGTGTTCACATGCTAACGTCCTAAAGCTCAGAACTTTTGAGAACATTTTACTCATTTTTATTGCTTTGTAAATGAGCCAGGGTCTTGCTATATAGACTAGTCTGGTCTCCAAACTCACAACCCTCCTACCTCAGCCTCCCAGGTACTAGGCTCACAGGTGTGTGGCCACTCCAAGCTTTCTACCCAGGGCTTTAAAAGGTATCTGGATGGAAGTCTTGACAATGGTGATTAAATTAAGGTCCCAGGGTGGACCTTCATCTGAGTAGCTAGTTTCCTTCTAAGAGGAAGTTAGGGTACAAACAGGCTCAGAGGAAGGTGATGAGGATACACAGAGTAGAAGACAGCCAGTTATAAGCCTGGAGTCAATTTTCATACAACCCCAGATGCAGGCAGCCATGCCCACACATTGATCTTGGACCTCTAACCTTTAGAACTAAGTAACAACAAAGTCCTTCCTATTGGTTGTCCCTCTAATTTGTGGGAGACCCAATCCTGGCAGCAAGGGATCACCTCTAGCTTGGCTCCCCATCTTGCACGTATACATTCACACTCACACTCACTCTCTCTCTCTCACACACACACACACAAAAAAAAACAAAAAACCCACAGGCCAGAGCCAGGATCTACAATGAGTCAGACCCAGACCGCTTACTCATTGGTCACTGATCTCCTAGGCTGAACCCCTGAATCACTTCAGGGTGCCTCAGTTAGGAAGTGATTAGCTTCCCCAATTCATTGGCTACATTTGCCAACATGCCTAACCAAGGAGGCTCTTTCCCAGCCAAAGAGGACGGCTGATGTGGAGACAGGGCCCTTTGTTCTGCCCCTCCGGGGACCACAAGGGCAGAAGAGAAGGGCCTGTCTTGCTCTGGGGGTGGCCACTCCTAGGCCCGGCTGAGTGGCATCCGAGCAGAGGCTGCCTGGTACAGCTGGGCTATGGACCTCAAAGACACAAAGGCATGGTGGGTGCAACACAGGGGCCATATCATTCAAAGGGGCCCTAGAGTGAGCCACATTAGGGTGAAGCAGCAATGTCAAGATCAGTTGTGGGGGGTGGTGGCGTTGTCAAAGAGAATAGGCAGAGACGGGAGCAGCAAGATAGACAGGCAAGAACAACAAAAAACTTCAGCAGCACATGCTATGGAAGGGATGGGTGCCTCAGGGCCCACAGGAGATAATGCAGCTAGTTTATCAAAGCCACAGTGATCCGGGATGACCTCTGAAAATGGAATCTGGTATCACTAATCTTACAAGAAAAGTGACAGTTTGTTCCCACACTGGGACAGAGCCTCCAGAAATCCAGGTCAGTGGTGGTAGGAAGGACAGAGAGACAATGGCTCTGTTGTGCCCAGGGGCCCCCTCAGCTGGCCCATCTGCCCCAGGCCCCTCCCTGACAATCCCTCCTTATCAGACATACTCCCCACTGATTAAGTAGCTGGCCCCCAGAATCCAGTGAATCTCCCCCAAAACCCACTGAGGTCAGTGGGGAGGAAGTCAGATTTTCCCACAGAGCATCTATTCTCACCTTGGGGCCATTCTGTGTACCCCACCCCAGAAACACACAAAATCACCTGTCACCATCTCTGGGTACCACCCTCAGGAGATGCCAGATGCACACAGGTGGCACTGGGGGCAAAGGATGCCCAGAAGGCTAGGATGGGTGACTGCCTGACTCTGGAGAATTGGTCCTATATAAGGGCCATCCTGGCAGGCTCCTAAACAAGAGCTTTTTGTCTTCTGTTCTCTTGGGGTACTGGGAATGGAACTGAGGGCAGTGCCTGTGCTAAGGAGCCTACACTCCCAGCTCTACTTCCTGGTTCTAGAAAGCCTGGGTCCCCAGCTGCTAAGCCATCACCTGCCTGGGTCTGTTTTGGGAAAAAGGGACATGGAGTTTCTTAATGGTGGTGGCAGAAACAAAAAGCGGGTGCTGGGGTGAGTACACACAGGGCCTCAAGCTCTCTGCTCCTGCTCTCTCACCACGCAGGCCCAGCTCTCTCCCAGCTTTTCAGGTATAGCCTGCAGCCAGGCCCCTCTTCTGAGGAAACTTGGTAGAATCCTCCACAAGCCTCACACTGGGTGTCCCCAATTCTGCCTAGTGATAACCTGTGCCACCTGTCACTACAAAGTCTGCCTGAACAGAACTCCATGCTCACTTGTCCTTCTGAGGCACAAAGAGGCCTCAGCTCTGTTGTCAGGAGGCAGCCAAGCACTTGGCACAAGCAGCTCAACTCAACCATGGACCCACCCAACACATCCTACTTTGGAGGGATGAGGGAAGTACCAGTGTTGGGAGGAGAATGTGATCCTGGGTCCCAGTAGAAGGGAGAGAGTTCCCAGCACATCAGACCCACATGGTCACCAGCTGGACTTAACAGAGGGTTCTGCTCAACTAAAAAGTCACAGCCAGAGTTGGGGACAGGTGCATCACCATGCAAGAAATATGTTCAGCCCCTGGCTGAGGGTGCAGCTCTGTGGCAAAGCGTATGTCTAGCATGCGTGAGGTTCTGGATCCCATCCCCAGCACCACAGGAGGAACTTGGGAGAAGAGCTGGGGCTACATCAAACCAAAGCGTTGTACCAGAAACACGGAAGTTCCTCAGTGGAGTTGGTGCTTTAAAAAAAGGCTGACACAGGCCAATCCATTCATTTGCAAGAGAAGAAACAGGCAGAACATGCTGAGGCCAGACTCCAAACACAGGGTGCTTCTTCCACAAGACCACCCCTCACTGGGTCACATGCTCTGAGTGCACCGAGGAAACAGTGTGCCCATGGCATAGGAGGGTTCCAGCCTGTCCCTTGGAGTGTCTAGGCCCAAGCAGGCTTTGTCATTGTTTGCAGGAGGCATGACCATGGGCTGTGTCCTGGGGCAAGCTAAGCTGAAAATCTTCCTTAAAGACCAGAACATTCTGAAAGTGAATGGAGTAGTTATGTATCTGAGGCCTTCTTTACATTCAAACTGTCCAGATTTGAGTATGAAACAGCTCTAAGGCTGGCCTTTCCCTTCTGGCACATGGCAGATAAGGATCCTGGCAGTGGGGAGGGGAAAATAGAAAGTAGTGCCAATCAAAACCATGCAGCTGCAGGCCCTTGTAGAAGCAGACAAGGCTGTGACACATTACAGTTCTCTAGCCTCCTTAAGGTTCTGGAAACTCAAAGACTAGACAACAGCCCTAGTTAAGGAAGGAGCTGGAACCCAGGGGACTGCAAGGTGGATGTCTTAAGTGCTCCCATCCCAGCAAAAGGCACAGAGAGGTCTCCCCTAAGAACCCCTGGGCTTAGGGGACGCTAGGGAAAGGAGGAGGGCATGCTGGCAGCTGTGCGTGAGACTGAGCTCACAGCCACTACCGGGGGACAGATTTCCTGTATGTTCTTTTACCCATTTAAGTTCAAGGACGCACCACCTCGAGCTCTAGCAGCACGGCACCCCAGCTCCTTCCTTTTGACACACAGTTTGGCATCCCAAACGCCTTCCTAGCTCCCAGAGAATCCAGCTAGTCTTCTTAAAGCGCAAAGTGATGCACGTTCCAAGGCAGGAGGAGACAGACCCAGAGGGCCCTGGGACTCGCCCCGGCGGATCACCCAGCTGTTGGGGTGTGAAGTCAGGAAGATGAATCAAGAAGGGGAAGGCGGGGGCGAGTCTCCAGAGGCTGCACCCCAACATCGCCCCAGGGCTTCTGGAACCAGTTTCTTCCCGCCCCCCACCCCGCAGGCGCTCTTAGGACCCGTCCTAGCGTGGCTAACCCCCCTTTCCCAAGAGCGGGACGCGACCCCACACACCTTGTCCGGTGCATGGAGCGCCGGCGGGGCTCCCCCTGGACACCCCAGAGCAGGGACTGCGCGTGCAGACCCCGGGAGGTTCTGGACTCTTTCCCCAGCTCGGGCCCCTCGGCTCCGCCTCCACGTCGTCCCCGCGTTTCCAGAGAACCCCCAATTGCCACCGCAGACACGTCCTCTTCAAAGACGCGCTCCAAGCCTCAGCCTCCTCGCCCGCGCCCGCTGGAGCCGTCCGGATCGGCATCGCCGAGCCCCTCCAGGCCGCATCCCGTCCACGCGTCCCCGGCCCTGACCCCAGTGCGTATACCCCACTCTGGTCTCCGCTCACTGCCGCCCCGGGGACTCACCTGGGCCTCCGCCGCCACGGGCCGCCGGTCCCAGGCCGGCTCCACGCCCTGACGCCCGCCAGCCCGCCCGCTACTCCGGGCGACTCAGCTCTGCTCCGCCCCGCCGATACGCGCCCGCCGCTCCCCCCGCGCGCTCCCACTTCCGGGTTCCGGAGGAGCTGGGGGGGTGGGGAGAACCGGGGCGGGACGCCAGCACGTCAGAGGGGCGGTGCGGCTTTGGGCCACGCCCCGTTCCGCCTGGGGCGGTCTCTCCTTGCGGTTGGCGCGCTCCCACTTCCGAGTGGCTGAGGAGGTGGCTGGGGGGCGGGGCTCCTCGGAGCCACGCCCACACGGAGCCCGGGGCGGCGGACCCCTGCGGCTGGCGAGCTCACGCAGCCTAGGGGCTGAGGCGGGCGGGGCGAGACGTCAGCTATTCTGAGAGGCGGGGCGATAAGCCACGCCCATACAGCCGGTTGGCTGGTGATACCAAGTGCAAGGGAAGAGCAGGGGAGGAACTCAGGACACGCCCACTCCGCTGGCTCCTGCGGACACCGCCCTCGCGCGGCGCGATGTGCTAAGGGCTGAGGCAGCCCAGGCCCAGAGGCACTTTGAGTAGAAGGCGGGAAGATGGCGGACTCCGAGCGCAGCGCCGAGTGAGTTGGGGTGCCGCGGGCCGGGATTTGAGGAAGGTTTGGGGGTGCCAGAGGGCTGAACAAGAGCTTGAACTGTCAGAGATATGCTGGGGAGCGGGGACCTCGGAGCGACCCCCGGAATCACACTCAGAGTGAAGGCCCCGGGTCTGACCGGATTCTGCGCATGCTCGGGAGCCTGGGTCCGAGAGAGGCGCGAGGTTCGAATTCTGCCTAGATCCGCGCTTTCAAATTGGGAGCAGGTAGCTTATCCCCCTGCCAAGCTTTCGGAGCCGGGGGCGCGCTCAGCCTCGAGAGGACTGTGAGGCATGTTTTGTTTTGTTAATGAGACACACTTGTGTAGCCCTGCTCGCTTTGAAACTCTATATAGCTGAGGTTGGCCTCGACCTCCTGATGCCCCTGCCTTCACCTCGGGAGTCCTGGGTTGACAGGCGTGAGCCACCTCCTATGACTCCAGAAATCCTACTGTTCATTGATTGACTGGCTGTCTTGTGCAGGCTGACCCACAGCTTAAGATCTTCCTGCCTCAGCCTTCCGAGGTCTGAGGACACAGGTGTGCGCCACAGAGCATCTCTCAAAAATTACTTTTTTCAGGCTGTATCCTTAAATTCACTATGTAGCCAGGTATGGCCTTGAACTCCAGATCTTCCTGCCTCCATCTGCCAGTGCTGGGATGACAATCTAGGGTCACTACACCCAGCTTGAGACTAGTTTATTGCAGTCACTATTTCCTGATAGATAAAAAGTAGCCGCATGACGAATAGGGTTGATCAATAGAAGGCAGAGTTTATTAGCAAAGGAACACATGGGGCAGATTCCCTTCTGGTTTAGACTAGTTAACTAAGCTGTGACCTTAGAAATTTTAAGACTGTCTACACATTATCCTTGTCTCATCCTCGTTATACTGTAACAACCCTACACGGAGCTTCATCACCTGCCCTGCTTTCTCATTTCTCTGTCAATTCTGGAAATATCCAGCCATCATAATCTTCATACATAAATCCTTCTTTAAAAATATCTCCATTCTCATATCCTTCCAACATCCTCCACTTTTCCATTTTCCTTTTTTAATAACCATGAGACAATAACATTAGCAAACACATTTTTATCTGTTGTGAGACTTCTTTTCTTGGGGATACTAAGCAATGTTTTTCCCCTTTTTGTTGTAGTATCAAATCAATGTTTGATTACATTAAAATTTTTCTGGGGAACCAGTGAATTTACTGAGCTTACTCACAGAGATGACTGAGGGGTTGCTGAGGTGTATGAGTGACCTGAGAGTATTTACATCGGAAAGCCTTAACCCAGCATGGATCAAGCCTTCTCTTCCTAGCCTTTTTTTAGATAATATACTTTAGTCTTTTCCAAGTCCAGGAGACCATGTGATTAGGGTCAAATTACATACAGTTGGCTGGGAAGAGCAGGCGGATACTCAGGTGAGGGTCCAATGACCCTGCTTACCTCCCCTCTTTTAATTAAAGAATACAGTTGTCAAGTCAACAAGTTCAATTGTGATGATTTTTGTTAGTGGACACAGCTGAAGTCATGAAGATGATCGTAGTTTGACTCAGAAGAAAGTGTGTAGCATCATCTTATTAAAAGAACATGGAACCTAAATTATACACATAATGTAATGTTAACATTACCCATGTACATATTGTGTTTTATAAGTTTTTAGGTAAATCTTTTACCTTATGTAGTTTAGTGAGTGGTCTATGAAAACCTTGCTTTAGGTGGAAAAAAGCAATTGGTACATAGTTAAACATTATCGAATTGACGTTTACAACCTCCAGCATGATCAATTAGGGAAAACTGTGCTATAACCCTGTTCAGACTTTATAACTGTTAGAGTGGAAGAGGCGGGAGGGGTGTCCTGTCCATGAGGGGATGGAAGGGCAGGGCTATCGGAGGCAGGGTCTGGAATCAAAGTGGAAGTTAGATACAGGAGGGATAAATGGGTTATTTGAGCTAGAAGCCAGAATAGGGGAGACTAGGGAATATTTGGCAAGGAGGTGTTTAAGGTTTTGGATTTTTTTTTTTTTAGAGGAAAGTTAGTGGAAGGAGAGCAGGTGATGGACTTAGAGTGGTGCTGGAGAGAGGGAAGGTCATGGCATGGAGAGGGAGTTGGAGAAAGGAGGAGAGATGGGTGGGCCCAGCTGGAAACTTATTTCATTAGAATGTTAAAGAAAAAATTTCCAGGGCAGGCAAGCTGGCAATCTTGGCTCTTGGCAGCTGCCTGGAAGGGGTGAATAGCAGGAAGGAAGGAAAAAGCCTTGGGGTCCTGCAGGTTTAAAGCATGCATGGAAGGTCAGACAAATGGTGGGCTGGCAGGCAGGCACACAGCAGGGAGCAGAAAGCTTTAGTATGGGAGGAGGAGAGAGAAGAAGGATACAGAGCATTTGTATGTGTTGGATTGAACAGTATCAGAAATCATCCTGAGTAAAGTGAGGAAGAGAGGCAGTGGAAGAGGATAAAGACAAGAAAAAGGATGGAAGACAGCAGATCTTGCAGGCCCATGGCAAGGGGGGGGGGCAAGATGGCAGTGGTGAGCGGCCGGTGGGGGATCTGAGATAAGGAACGGATGAAGCAGGTCACCCATCATGGAGACCACAGTGCTGTCTGGGAGTGGTGAAAATCAATGGGAAAGGAGATCAAAATAAGTAGGTAAGGCAGAGTGTTCCCAGTGAGGAGAGCCAGAAAGAGGTGAGAGCAAAGCAGAGGGCTGAGGAGAGGAGGAGAGAGAAAAGAAGTGTACCTGGGAGCCAAGTTAGTGGCATTGGAGAAGTCCAGGCGGGTCCCTTGAGTAAGAACCGGGTTTTGGCACCATCTGATAGGTAAAAAGTTGGTGGAGAACGAGCGAATGGATGGGGTCTTTTAAAGGGGGAGGCTTCTGCTTCCTGCAGAAGGCAGGAAGATGTATTTTTTTTAAAGTTGGGTGGGGGAGTGGGAGAGCAGGACTGTTAAAACCTGTCCTCTTTAGAGATCAAAGGGGAAGCCTGCTGTGTTAGCCAAACAGTGGAGAAAAGTCTGCTTCTCTTGACTTCAAAGACCAAGGTGCTTATCAGCTAGGTTCCCTTTACTCAGGAGCATGAGAAGTCCTTGGGATCCTGTTGGTGACGGGCAGGGCTATCTGAACCTTAATATTTCCAAGATCCATCCTTGTTAGGGTGGGCTTGAGAAATATTGGGGCTTCAGCCATAGGCTTCCTTCTTTTTAATTTTTTAATTTGTGTGTGTGCAGGGAGAGGGGTGTTAGCCCTGGCTGGCCTGTCCTTACTGAAAGGAATTTTGTGGCACTGATAAGAGACAAGGCTGGGAGTTAGGAAGTTATTGTTTATGAACAATGACTTGGAAATTGATTTTTAAAAATCTACATCCTGGCCCGGGCATGGTAGCTCACGCCTTTAATACCAGCACTTGGGAGGCAGCAGCAGGTGGATCCTTGTGAGTTTGAGGCCAGCCTGGTCTACATAGCCAGTTCCACGCCAGATGGGGCTACAGAGAGACCCTGTCTCAAAAAGACCAAAAAAAAAAAAAAAAAAAAAAAAAAAAAAAAATTCTACATCCTGATCCTATTGCTAGTAGCACCCGCTTATGCACCCAAATGCACCCCAGCCAGATGCAGTAAGAGAGAATCCCTGTAGTCAGGAAGTGAAAGCAGGAGGATCAGGAATCCAAGTCAGCTACGTAGTGAGTTTCAGATCAGCCTGAGCTGATGTATATGATGTATGAAACCCTGTCTTTAAAAACAAAAACAGCCAGATGTGATGGAGCATACCTTTAATCCCAGCACTCCAGAGGCAGAGGCAAATGGATCTCTGTGAGATCAAGGCCAGCCTGGCAAGTTCCAGGCCAGCTGGGGCTACAGGGAGACCCTGTCTCAAAAAAAAAAGAGTAAAAGCAAAAGAAACCTTTACCTGCTAATGAAATGGGAAGGCTCTAGGTCTCCTGGACCCACTTCTCAGAGAATTCCTCAAAATTCAAAAACAACGTTGCCCCTAGTGGATAAGGCCTTGACACTGTTAGGTTTTAGGTGGAACTAGTGGTTCTGGGCAGTAAGGAGTTTATTAGAAGTGATATCCATGCCATGGACAGAGGCAACAGCATGGCGGAGGCTCTGCTGAGAATCAACCTGGTGGGAGACGATGTGGCTACTCTCTCTGCAAGAGCTGATTCCCGAGCAGAGAAGGGGTGGGAGCAGGCAGGCCTTCTAAGTGAACTCTTCTCAGGAGAGGAGTGAGGCACTGACCAGGCTTGGCATTCAATGTCAAGCTGTGAGAGGTGTCTGGATTCTTACAAAAAAGGTCAGATTCCCAATGGCCCTAGGCAGCCTTGGGGCTCCGGTGTACCTGCTCTCCCTGTCTTAAAGATGGAAACCCATCTGCTGCTCCAGCCTCTTCTCCCTAAATCTATGTCTGATCTTGAATTCTCTCCCATGAGATCAAAAACAAGCCAGAGTGAAGTGTGGCACACAAGCCTGTCATCCCAGCACTGGGGTGAGAAGCAGAAGGAGCAGGAGTTCAAGGCCAGCCTCTGCTACTGAAGTCCCTGTCTTGAAAACTAAAAAAGGAAAAAAATGCAGACCTAGGCTGGGACTGTGGCTTCAGGGGTGAAGGGCTCTCCTAGCCCTGCATCTGATGCCCATCAATACAAAGAAATATCTATAAGACCCAGGCCCCAAGTCTCTAAGGTGCTCCTGTGCTCAGCCTGGTGCCCTAAAGCATCAGTTCATCACACCAGAGCCTCTCCATCTGGATGCTGTGGGCCTTGCGGGTCTGCTTTCTGCTTGCTTTGACCCCCCAATTCCAGCAGCGTGTCTTCCACTGTGACAGTTATAGCATCTTCACACCCTGTAGGGTGAGTGTATTTAGAGGAACTGGCCAGATATTGGGTCCACTCAGCTGTGACCAGGGACTGTGTGGCACACATACCATGGCAGCTTCCCCTGCCCAGGCAAAGGTCCTGTGAGGCCAGCAAGGCAGTTCAGTGGGTAATGGTGCTTGCCACCAAGCCTGATGACCTGAGTTCGATCCCCAGGACTCATATGGTGGGACGAAAGAACCAAATCCCACAAGTTATCCTCTGACATGCACACAGTGGCATATGCATACCCCCCCACACACACACAGTAAGTAAACTATACAAAATTAAAATAGAAAGTGCTAGCCAGCTTGTAGTCCCAGCACTCGGGAGGCAGAGGCAGGCGGATCTCTGTGAGTTCAAGGCCAGCCTGATCTACATAGTGAGTTCCTGTCTCAAAAAAAAAACGAAAAAAAAAAAAAAAGTGCTAAAGAGACTAGATCTGTAGGTCTGTGGATGGCGCCACCTGGCCAGCACCTTATCTTAGACCTCTAGGCCCTAGAATGAGGGAGACAAAGCCATGTTGTATCAGCCTCCCCAACTGGTGTTTGTCAGTCCTCAGTGACAGGTACACTGATGCTGGGACACCCAAAGGGCTGCAGCAGATGAGCCTGGCCTTTCTGTCCATAACACATCCCTCCAAGTGCTTCCCATTTTGCAAAGCCTGTAGCAGGAGCCCATCATTTGCAGGCTGCAGGGAGAGGTCCGAACCATAACACTCCTCATACGTTTTGTTTTTTTTTTTTTTTGACTAATGAGCTAAGAGTGATAGGAAACAGGACCTTAACTGTGGAACCTGCCCTGACCTCAAACACAGTCCTGCTCAGCTCCCCAGTCCAAGTCACAGGCCAGAGACAGAGTCTCCCTGTAGCTCCAGCTGTCCTGGAACTCACTGTGTAGACCGACTGGCCTTGAACTCAGAGATCCACCTGCCTCTGCCTCCCGAGTGCAGGGATTAAAGGTATGTGCCATCACACCTAGCCAAAGATTCATTTTGTATATGAATGTTTTGCTTGCATGTATGTATGTGCACCACATGCATAATATGCCTGTGGAGGCCAGAAGAGGGGGTTGGGTCCCCTAGAACTGGAGTTGTAGATGGCTGTGAACTGCCATATAGGTGCTGGGAACACTAGGCCCTCTGGAAGAGCTCTTAACTGCTAAGCCATCTCCCCAGCCACTGATTTGTACATTTTTAATTGTTGCTTAAAAAACAAAAGTAGCCAGGCATGGTGAAGCACACCTTTAGTCCCAGCATTTGGGTGGCTGAGGCAGGCAGATGGATCTCTGTGAGTTTGAGTCCACCCTGGTCTACATAGTGAGTTCCAGGCCACCTGGGGCTACAGGGAGACCCTGTCTCAAAAAGACTGAAGGAAAAACAAAAGACATATAAAAGAAGTGTAGTAGTGACGCACACCTATAATCTGTGGTCTGGTTGAGGCAAGAGGATTGTGAGTTCTAGGCCAGCCTGGGCTACAGAACCAGACCTTGTCCCAGAAGCAGAAAAGGGCTGGGAAGATGGTAAACCTGATGACCCTGAGCATAGGTTCCCAGAACCCACATAAAAACTGGATGTAATGCCCTCTGTAATCCCTCCCTATAGGGAGGCAGAGGCAGGAATAGGAGCCTAGAAATAAGAGGACTGACTAGCCTAATGTAGGCAGCCGTGGACAAGGGAGACCCTGTCTCAGACCTCCACACAGGCACCATGGCACGCCATACTCTGTTATACAAGGACCTGCACTCATACAAGCACATGTTGTACACACACAATATTACAAAAAATACTAAAAGAAGACAACTATTTTGTGACATGTGAACACTGTATGAAACCCAGTTGTTGCTGTGTCGGTAAAGTTTTACTGTTACATGGCCCACCACGACAGGCTCCAGAATGCCGAAGTTGAATAATTGCTGGTCATGATAGTGGCCAGGTGGCCTAGGAAGATGACCCTTTACAAAGAAAGTCCATTGCTCTCCCAGCTGAAAGGACAGATCTGAGGTACCGGGCCATGGTCAACTTCCATCCACCCATCTACCTTGCTGACCACACTCTGTGCACACCCAGTGCTGTCACACCCCATCTGGGGAGTGAGGGAGCTGGGAGCCTGCATCCTCTCCAGGACACTAGGCATTCTTGCTTGGCCCAAGTGACCGTACCTGCCCCACTTCCTCACGGGCCGGGTCTCCATCTAGTGGGAAGTGGACTCTGGCTGCTGGGCAATTCTTTCAGTCAGGTAGCAATACCTTTCTTTCTTTTCTCTCAGGAGGTCCTCAGCTGCTCCTGGCACCCTCACTGGCTCCAAGACAAAAGAGAAGAGACTCCAAGGTGAGGCTGCCCTGGCCCATTTAAGTGAAGTGGCCCTTCTGTTCTGATTTCTTTTCATTCAGGGTTTTTGTGTAACGTTTTATTGCATTGGTATCTGTTTTATTGCCATAGCACACATAATTTGGTCAGGGGACAACTTTGAGGAGTTGGGTCTCCGTCTACCATGTTAGGTCCTGGCGGTGGCAAGAGCCTTTCCCCACTGAGCCATTTCATCAGCCCTTTTTTGGTTTTGGTTTTTGCTGGGTTTTGAGACAGGGTCTCACTACGTAGTCCTGGCCAGCCTGAAATTCACTGTGTAGATCAAGCTGGCCACAAATTCAGAGAGCTCCATCTGCTGGGATTATAGAGGTACAACACCACACCCAGCTGCTGACCCTGCTTTTTTTTTTGTGTGTGTGTGTGTGTGTGTGTGTGTGTGTGTGTGTGT